ACATCACAATAGTTTAGCAAACGAATGACATTCACTAAGAGGCTCATGTCCTCTAACGGGAGGACCCCACTTACTTGATGTGCTGATGCCATTGTGAGTAAAAGTAATGCACCTCGATCTTGGTTCCTGCGGAAAAGTGGTCTGATGACTACAGAACTACCGCGGTAAGCCGGACAGCCTCATGCGGTCGACTGTTTATATGAACCCTTTCACGATGGCGTCAAAGTTGGCGGCAGTGCGATATCGTTGTCGCCTGTCTGATACCGGTGTGGGAACGACAATTGTGGTTTTGAGTGGGACCGGCCCAGGCCCGGAGTGGGGCACTCGGAGGGGGGTTTGACACATCTTGTGATTTGAACCCGCTGAAAATGGCAAGAAAATAGACCAATTCTGTACACTAAAACTCTCGCCCCAGAACGCCTCAATGCACAATGTGTTTGGCATGAGCCGCAATCGGGATTTTAAGGATGGGTCATGCTAGATTCAATGGAGATTTGGCGGGGTTCACTCTTACGCCTTGGCCTGGGCCCGGATGGGGCGCCGGTTCGGGACCGGCCGGCTCGTGACCGGCTCCCACACGTAGAAGGGGCGAACGGAAGCTTTCGGGCGTCACCACGGACGATAAATACTCGATCTCCCAACACTTGACGATGAGTTTTTGTATCAAGCAAGCTTCAAGAGTCTCTCAAAAAAACAGATATACATACACCTTACACTGTATCGCACCTTCTCCAAGACTCGTTTACAAGATCACCACAGCTCAGTTGCTCAGATCAAGACCAGTCCTTCAAGATGCCCGCTGTCATTGAGCACTCGGTCACTACGGAGGTCCCTGGACCTATCTCTAAGGCCAGCGCAAAGAAGCTCGATACCTTCTTTGACGCCCGCGCCGTTCACTTCGTCGTCGACTACGACAAGAGTTCCGGAAACTAGTACGCAGCAACCACCGGCTGTCTTGGTAGAACCTCGTGCTAACAACAGGTGCTTTGTAGCATCGTCGACGTTGACGGCAACAAGTACCTCGATGTGTAAGTCCACTCCCCGGGCACACCACAATCGACCCGCATCTCGCTAATCTCCCCCGGTTCTCAAAACAGTTACTCCCAGATCGCCTCCATCCCGGTAGGCTACAACAACCCCACCCTCATCGAGGCCGCCAAGTCCCCCGAGATGATCTCCGCCCTCGTCAACAGACCCGCCATCGGCAACTTCCCCTCGGGCGCCTGGCACGACCTCCTCCAGAACGGCCTCATGAAGGCCGCCCCGGAGGGACTCAACCACATCTTCACCGCCCAGTCCGGCTCCGAGGCCAACGAGCTGGCCTACAAGGCCGCCTTCATGCTCTACCGCCGCCGCGAGCGCGGCGAGGCCGAGTGGTCCCACGAGGAGATCCACTCGTGCCTGCACAACACCACCCCCGGTTCCCCCGAGCTGGCCATCATGAGCTTCAAGAACTCCTTCCACGGCCGCGGCTTCGGCAGCTTGTCCACCACGCGCAGCAAGGCCGTGCACAAGCTCGATATCCCCTCGTTCAACTGGCCCCAGGCTTCGTTCCCGGCGCTCAAGTACCCCCTGGACAAGTACGCGGCCGAGAACGAGGCCGAGGAGAAGCGCTGCCTGAAGAAGGTGGAGGAGCTGATTCAGAGCTGGCACTGCCCCGTTGCTGCTGTTATCGTTGAGCCTATCCAGTCCGAGGGCGGTGATAACCACGCTTCCCCTGCCTTTTTCCAAGGTCTGCGCGACATTACGCAGAAGCATGCTGTTGTCATGATTGTTGATGAGGTCCAGACTGGTGAGTGGCTCTCCTTGATATGAAAAATTTATGCAGTCGCACTCATATGTTGATTAGGCTTCGGCGCTACTGGCAAGTTCTGGGGCCACGCTCACTGGAACCTTACCTCCCCTCCCGACATCGTCACCTTCTCCAAGAAGGCCCAGACTGCCGGCTACTACTTTGGCGACCGCATGCTGGTCCCCGACAAGGCTTACCGCCAGTTCAACACGTATGTCATCCCTTTCATCGTCGTCTTTAACTGAACCACCGCTAACGAGCCTGCAGCTGGATGGGTGATGCCGCCCGCGTCATCGTCTGCAAGGCAGTCATTGACGAGATCCGCGAGAAGAAGCTCGTGGAGCAGACCGTAAGTGAACCATTTCAGACTCATCATGAGTTACAAACTCACACGTGTTATAGGCTCGCGTTGGTGAAGTCCTCTACGCCGAGATGGAGAAGCTCGCCCAAAAGTACCCCGACCACGTCATGAACCTTCGCGGCAAGGGCCAGGGCACCTACGTCGCCTTCGACACCCAGAGCGCGGCTGCCGTCACGAGCTCGATGAAGCGCCTCGGCGTCAACATTGGCGCTTGCGGCAAGGAGACCATCCGTCTCCGCCCCATGCTCATCTTTGAGGAGGCGCATGGTAAGTCTCTTGAAGAAACACTCACCTTATCTTATACGACCAGGAGTCTAACATACATCTCTACAGTGCCCATTTTGATCTCTGCATTTGAGAAGACCTTTTCTTCATTGTAAACAACATTTTATCACGAAAGCATGGCATGGACGGGAAAAGAAATCAAAAATTTGGCGGATTTAGCATAGCATGGATTTACAGCTCCGACGGTAGACCCAAGGTGGGGATCACAGTTTAGGGAGATCTTTTTCTTTTTGATACCATAATGACAGAGCCGATGATGGCCTTGAAAACGGAACATATCTCCTCAACCTTCTCGTAGTGAACTCTCAAACGAAATGAGGGAACTTGATTGGTACATCGAGTGGCTGGCACATGTTTTCCTATTGGCAAACAGCTGTCAAGTCAAAGCCATCACCAATAGTTTCGACTTTCATATTGGTATGGATGGCTGACTCGGGTAACATGACAAAACTTCCTGAGATCACGCTTCCAACGACCTTTGAGTCGCGATCCACATCGACGAGTAAAACACACAATTTCAGCGTACCCATTCAGGACCACCCCCATGATCTTTGTCTGATAGACGGCCAGTCGGGCAAACCAACCACCGCACAGTCTTAGTCGGGGAGGGGATACTGACTACCGGGCGGAACCAATGGGTAGCGCGGCCCGGTGGCCGGTAGCTTATCATGGAAGAACCGGGAAATACCTGCGGTCTCTATTTTCGGGGCATCCCCCTCTCGGGACTGGTCGCCCCGTCGAGTGATACGCATCCGGTTCGTCGGATCCGCCAGAGCAGCCGGCTGGGGTAACAAGGATCGTCGCGGCATGACACATGCGGTGGTACACAGTACCCCGCTCATCCCCGCGGGCCCAGGCGCCGAGATAGGGCGATGATGCGCATTGGTGATGAGGCTATCTATAGCCTTTTTTGCTTGATACTGGTCTATTTTCAATGGCTGAAAAGTTCGTGATGGTCTCATATAAACCTTCAAGACCAGGTTCGCAATCACACAAACTTACCTTACCCAAAAAGAAGTTCTTCACACACTTAATCAAAATCACCTTGTGAACTCTCCCCTTCCCACACACACACACACACACACACACACACACACACACACACAAACATGTCATCACCAAGGAAACACGTCGTCTTCGACATCGTAGGCACCTGCATGTCCTACGACGCCATCCCCCGCGCCATCGAAACCCGTCTCGGCCCCAAACTCGCACAACACAACATCAAGCCCGCCCTCCTCAGCTTCGCCTGGGTCGAGGCCGCCGAGCGCGAGTACACCTACCTCTCCATCCAAGGCCGCTACCGCCGCTTCTACGACATCTTCCGCAGCCTCTTCTACCGCATGCTCTTCCAAGCCGGCGTCCCCGAACCGCGCAAACTCGCCACCGACGACGACGTAGCCTACATCATGGACCGCTTCCTCGAGCTCGAGGCCCGGCCCGGCACAAAGGAGTGCTTCACGCTGCTGCGAGAAGCTGGCTTCACAGTCTGGGCCTTCACGGCGGGCGACGCGAAGCGCGTGGGCGGGTACTTTGCCAAGGCGGGCATCGACATGCCCGCGGAGAACCTCAAGAGCTGCGACGCGGACGGCATCGGCAAGCCGGACCCCAGGGCGTACAAGCCCGTGCTAGAGAGCTTTGGCGGGGAGGAGGCGTGGTTCGCGGCGGCGCACATGTGGGATGCGTCGGCGGCCAAGGGGTGCGGGTTCAAGGGGGCGTGGTGCGCCGTGTACGAGGGGGAGCCGTGTACGGATTTGTTTGGGGAGATGGATGTCATGGCGACCGAGTTGCCGGACATGGCGCGGAAGATTATAGCCGCTTCGGAGGGGGCGGCCGCGGCGTAAACGGCGTGATGGGGAGGGGGGGATCCCTATCCGTGTGATGGGGGGAAAGATCACGGGGGTGTTTAGTCCTCGGTCTCGCTTTTTTAAGCGGTAAACTCCCCCGAATAATGAACAAAATGACCAATCTTCATGCATTGTTTTCTACCGTGAAGAAGGATATCGTTCTCGGGTTGTTGGTTGAAGCTGATTCGCTGTGGATATCTTACATCAAATGTCACTGGGCGTCTGTCATTTGCTTATCACACCTGAGAGAGAAAAAGAGGGAACCCGGCAAATTGCCGGTCCCGTCCTCCCCGCCGCCGGCTCGGCCTCCGGTCTCGGACACTCGCCGTGTTTTCCGTCACAAACCCCTCCAAGAAGCACTAACATTCACCCGTGATCCGGAGCTAGAACCAGAGAGATATCGGTGGGTATGGGTCCCATGCCCGATGCATCTTATCTCGGTTTTCCGGCCTTCAGTGCTTCTTATCAGCCCCTATTGAGCTTCAACGGCACGTTGGTTCATTGAAACGTGCCGGTTCGTACGTCGATAGTAGTACCAGCCCAAAGAAGCGCTTGTCTTCCCCAGCATTGGTATATAGAAAGTCCACACATATTGCTTATCAGCCCGGGCTTCACTTCTAGCCTGCCCAGTGAACCTTTGCCCCTCCTATTGTGAAAAAGGGAAGCCCGAAAGAAGCCTGCCAAGCCCACCTCTCATGCCGTCACACCCCAAGCCATGCCCGCACCAAAGCCGACAAACCGGACCCCGGTCTCCAACCCCGTCCCCTCCTTCTGGAACGCCGCCCCCCGCCCCCTCGACGACCACCGCACAACCCCGGACCTCCCCGCCGCGAGCGACATCGTCATCGTCGGCGCCGGCTTCGCGGGCGTCGCCACGGCCTACCACATCCTCAAGGACAACCCATCCCCGCCGTCCATCACCATCCTCGAGGCCAGGAAGGTGTGTTCCGGCGCCTCGGGTCGCAACGGCGGGCACGTCAAGCCCGACACGTATTTCCAGGTGCCAAAGTACACCAAGCTCTTTGGTCCCGAGCAGGCAGCCGCGTTGGCCGCGTTTGAGGCCTCGAATGTGTACGCCGTCAAGGAGCTCGTGGAGAGTGAGGGCTTAGATTGCGACTTTCACTTGACAAGGGCGGTTGATGTGTATCTTGATCCGGAGCATGCCAAGGAGACTGAGGCTGCGTATCGGGAATTAGTGAAGGCGGGGGTCGTGAATATGAAGGATGTTGCTTTCACTCCAAAGAAGGATGCTGAAAGAGTAAGTCTATTCCCCCCCAACATCAATGATGAGAGATATAGACTAATCTTCCAAACACAGGTCTCAGGAGTCAAGGGCGCTCAATGCGCCTTCTCTTTCACAGCAGCACATCTATGGCCAGCAAAAATGGTCTACCAGCTACTAGACCGCCTCCTCAAAAAGGGGTTGAACCTGCAAGCCAACACGCCAGTAACATCGATCTCATCAACGCCCGACGCCGCCGGCCGCTGGACAATCCAGACCCCGCGCGGCGCCATCAGCGCCGGCACAGTCGTCGTAGCCACAAACGGCTACACAGCTCAAGTCCTCCCGCAATACGAAGACCGCATAGTCCCCGTCCGCGGCCTCTGCAGCCGCATCACCACCCCGGGGGGCCCCAACAGCCCGCACCTGGTCAACACGTACGGCATCCGCTTCGACGCGCGAAACAACGACTACCTCATCCCCCGGGCGGACGGGAGCATCGTCGTCGGCGGCGCGCGGCAGATGTTTTGGCATAAGCGCGGCGAGTGGTTCGACAACGTCCGGGACGACGAGCTAGTGAAGGGCGCGTCGCCGTACTTTGACGGGTACATGCAGAGGCACTTCCGCGGGTGGGAGGAGAGCGGCGCGACGACGGAGAGGGTGTGGACGGGCATCATGGGGTACAGCTCCGATTTCATGCCGCACCTGGGTGGTGTGCCTGGGAAGCCGGGGCAGTACATCATTGCCGGGTTTTCTGGTCACGGCATGCCGGAGATTCTGCTCTCGAGTAAAGGCGTGGCGGCCATGATTCGAGATGGGGCTTCATTTGAGAGCACGGGGCTGCCGAGGATCATGGAGACGTCGAGGGCGAGGATCGAGAGGATCGATAGCCCGCTCGAGGACGGACTCAAGTCTTTGTGGGAGGATGATGTGAAGGCGAAGCTTTGAAGGGGATACGGGCCACGACTCTGACTAATATGACGATGAGTCAATAAGAGACTGGTCTACTCTGTACAATAACACAACCTCGAATCCTCGAGCTCGAGAAACCTCTTTCTTGTTCCTTGCCTCTCCCCCTCGTAAGAGCTTTCTCTGTGTCGGCGAATGCATCACTCAACATCGACTGTCTACCTATAATTTGAATTGGAGTCTTCTAAAGTGAACGAGTCTAGAACACTGTCAGATGCCGCACCACGAGTCAAGGCAACTCCAGAATCTGGGTTCCTGGGTTTGTGCTTCATGCAACATTTCGGCTCCGACCAGGATATAGCCGGCTTCCCCGCGTCTTGGTCACCAAAAAACAGCGGGTCCGCTCCCCTCCGACCCCGCCGCCGACCGCGGCGCTGGAGGTTTCGCCGAACTTCTGCCTCCCCGACCCCCTCCCCTTCTGGCCTTCTGGGAAATGGGGCGCGCGAAGGACTCAGGTAGTAGACGCAGCCGGAGAGTCAGCGCCAGCAGGCCTATCTTAGCTCCCCTCACACACAAACTCGGAACAACCACTCTCATTCACTCACTCACTCATTCCTTTATCCACCCGCATACCTTGCCCACTCCCAATTCCGAGGAATTTGCAAGGGCATTGAGAGACAGGAACCAGACCTTCCTTTCTGAACACGGGCTTCCTTCGTTACGGGGGGGTCACTTGGGAAACACTTTCCGCGGAGAGCCTAGACGAACCTCCCTACACACAAAGAAGACCAAGCCAGAGACACAGAGGGACAAACATAGACAGAGAGAGTCCTCCACCACCGGCCCGGGTCCTCGCCTGGCCCTGTTGATCGGCACAGTCCGCTGCTGCCGCCCTCTCTCGCTATCTACTACGGTCCCCTTATCGGCTATTGCGACTCCAAGAAGAAGTTGTAAATGGATCCCGAGGACGGCTTGCGCCTGCAACGACACAAGCAGCGTCGCGTAGCGGATAAGGAGCGGAAGAGGGCAGTTCGAGCGTACGATGAAGCCCATTTCTTTTGTTTTGTTTTTTCCCTCCCACGTTCCTGTCCAGTCACATTTTCATTACTAGATACTCGGTCCGATTGATGTGAGAGAACCTCCCTCATGCTGACGCGACCAAGCTGTGACGGATGTCGGCGACTCAAGGAAAAATGCGACGGAGGAGTCCCTTGCCGCCGGTGCACCCGTCTGCGCCGGCAGTGCGAGTTCCTCACGCCCACGACGAGAGATGAGCCCGGATCGGAAAACTCGACAAGGTGAGAACCTATAGACCTCTTACTTCTCTATACCCATGTCCTTCCCCAAACGTAGCACTGTTATAAGATTCCTCAATGCGATATCTCACGCTTTTCTTTCCCTTGGGTTCTTTGCACCAATGTAACACATCTGGCTGACAAAAGGGCCATATTGGCGGGTATAATAATAATAGACCCCGCCACTCGCAACATCATGAAGACGCTCAGTTGAGCCAGAGAATGTCCTACATGGAGCGGCTCCTGGCGCACTACACCGGCAAGAGCACCCTTGACGCCGAGACTCTAAAGACCTTGGCCGAGTCCGTGGAGAAGATGAAGTCGCCTGCTGGACGACCGCGCACCGGCCCGGAGGGCGCGGTGACCGGGGCCGGCGCTGGTGCTGGTGCTGGCGGTGGAGCGGATGTCACCATGGAGCCGGACGTCGGCGCCGAGGCAGAGGTGCAATCGCAGAGCTCCGACTCTTTCAAGGTTGACGAGATAACGGTTCAGCCTCTGGAGAACAACATCACACGTAAGGCGGGCCCTATCTCTCTTCCCTCTCCCCTTCTCCTCCCTTCCCCCTGCTCTACCCTTCCCTCTTCCCCGGACCCTCAACAGGCTCGGCGCTAGCATCCCGAAGGGCCTCTCCCCGTAGACCGCCATGTTGACCTCCGAGCAGATTACTCCGGCGAGTTCTCACACTGGAACTTCTCCATGCGGATAAAGCAATGGATCGAACAGTGTGTAAACGTAAGCATGCCCGCCCTTTCACCTCAACCAAGTCAGCATCGCTGACCCCCCTTCTCATAGGACGCCCCGGATGGTCCAAAGACACAGTTCAAAGAATACTACCGCCCAGAAGAACTCCAGTCCCCCTCCAACACAGTAGCCTCCCTCTCCTCCCTCCCGCCCCGCTACGTCGCAGACTTCCTCGTCCAGGCCTTCTTCAACCATGCCGAGACGAGCTACTTTTACGTCGAGCGTCACTGGCTCATGGACAGGCTCGACCTCGTCTACGAGAACTCGGCCTCCCTGACGCGCCGCGACGTCGGCACCGTCTGCATGATCCTCATCATCTTCGCCATCGGTACGCAGTACGCCTACCTCGACTCCCGGAACGAGAGGGGCGGCCCACCCAGCGCCGCCGCCGACTCGAGCCCCTTTTCGGAGGACACCATCGGCATAATGTTCTATCAGCAGGCGTGCCGGCTGGTCCCCGACGTGATTACCATATCATCGCTGGAGAGCGTTCAGGCGTGTTTGCTCATCGGCCTCTATACGTTACCACTCGACGCCTCGGGGCTGTCGTACGTTTACTTGAACCTGGCGGTCAAGCTCGCGATCCAGAATGGTATGCACCGGAAGCATCCCGGGGCCGCCATCGACCCTGTCATTCGTGAAACGAGGAACCGTGTCTGGTGGACGGCCTACACAACGGAAAAGTGAGTACACTTTTGTCACGAGCCACTTATTCCTTCTCACATATTGACTTTATCTCCCAGGCGAATCGGCATATTCCACGGCCGGCCAGTATCCATCGCAGCAAGCGACGTCGACGCCGAACTCCCAGTCGATAGACTAGAAATCTGGCCCGGTTCAGCACCGCCAAATACGGCACACATGCTAGCAACCCTCCAGCTCAACAACGCCCTCAGCAGAATAGCTCACCAAATGTCAGTCGCCCCCTATCTCCGCTCTCTTCTTTACACCTCCTTGTTCTCCCTCATCTCACTAACATTCAACCCACAAGATCCCTCTTCAAAACTTTTGAAAAGAACGAAATCCCAGAAGGCATGGCCAAGCTCGTCGAGATGAAGGCCCAACTCCACAACTGGTGGAACAGCCTCCCAGAACCAACCTTTATCAAGGACCCGACCACCGGCCCCGCCGTCTTCCGCCCGACAATGCACCTGAGGCTAGAATACTGCCTCGTCCGCATGTTCGCCGGCCGCCCCTTCATCTTCCCCCGCGAATCGGCCCACCGCGGCAGCACAGCAAGCTCCTCCGGATCCCCCGCGGACTCCGTCGCCGTCACCGTAGTCGCAGGCGGCGGCGGTCCCTCCTCCGGTGGTGCCGGTGCCGGCCGCGCCACGACAAGCAGCTCAACCAGCAAGACAACACACCCGCGCGCCGTCCTCGTAGCAGACTGCGTCGACGCCGCCCTCCTCGTCGTAGAGACCTGCCGCCTCCTCCGCAACACAGTCGGCCTCGCCCGCGCCTCGTACACGGAATTCTCCTCGTGCCGCGCCGCCCTGCTCGTCATCATCACGCAGTGCCTCCAGAAGAAGACGGACCGCCTCCGCGACGCTCTCAGAGAAGGCATGGCGATGCTGAGGGAGATGTCGGCGGGTGGGGAGTCGGCGAAATCGGAAATGTCTCTCATCGAGGCTTTTGAGCGCGCGATTTCGAGGCTGGATATGGCGGACGAGAGTAACGGTGGCGGGGCTGGGGCTAACGGCGGCGCGTCCGGAGTCAAGGAGTCTGATTACGCGAGGTTTAAAAAGTGGGAGATGTTGTGGAAGACGGATACGCCTGCCCAGGGCCATGGCCAGGGTGGTGATGCGAGAAGCGAGAGGGACGGGCTTGATGGTGCGGGATTGCCGATTCCGCCGCATCCTGCTGGCATATGGCGGGGTGGAGGACACGGGCACTCTGGGGGCGGAGGAGGACATGTTCCTCCCGGCGCGGGAAGGCAGGGTACGGCGTCGTTGCCGCCGGCGATGCCGTTTTTCGGGCTCGATGGGAGTCTATCGCCTATGCCGCCTGCGCTCGACGAGTTCTCGGCCATGTTCGGGAACGGATACGTGCCGGGCTTCGAAGGTATGGGCGGAAGTGTAAACGGGAATTGGATGGGTCTTTGAGTTCAGGTTGGAGGAGAATTCGAAAAGGAAAAAAGGAACCAGTCGATTGAAACATTGCCTACTACACGGCCGGCGGAATCTGGGGTTTGCGTGTCTCTGTTCATCTCAAGCATGTCATCTACTTGGACGAGGAGATGCCTTCACATCCATCAGTCGTACCTTCCACACGTGGACCTCCATACCTTCCGAATTAAATACACGAGAAGGGTATATACCCCCCCTCAAGTCCATTCCTGTCACCAGCCAGCAGGCGCCCCTTTGGGGGTCAGGTCAAAACTGGCTGGGTGGTGGAGTGGTTGAAGTCCACGAACAGCCTAATCGGTGAAGGCGAAGAGGTCCCGTGTTCGAGTCCCAGCATGTGCGCCAGAGATGTAGCCCCCGTTCGCCACCGGGGGGGTGAACTCTTTTGCTTTTTGGTATCATCAAGGAGTGAGTAGGTAGGTAGTCACCTTAGGACAGGACGAAGAATAAATAGACTACGTTCTGAAATAAGACATGATGATGTTACTGGGTGTCTGAAATTGATGAATATTGTTTGATGTGAAGTAAAAGGCCCGGAAGGAGTGGGTGACCGATTTACTGGAAAGCTGTCGCTGGGATGCCTCACCATTTTAAACGAGGAAGAAAGCTACATTATCATCAAGAGGCGGTGTATACATGCAATGAAAGTGGTCTGACTACCACACTGACCCCTCAGATATGGCCTCATGGCCGAACTCCTGCGCAGGAGACCTATTTAGGCAGAACCACAAAGCCAAGGAGTAAGAACGGAACACGGAGTAAAGGAGAGCAGTATTCTTATGTAAAAGACTCGATAGATCTGTGTGATAATCTGTAGAATGACCTTTCTAGGTGCTAGACTTGGCATGGGAGCATATACCTTAGACTTGATAAAATAGCAGAATATTTGAGCACCGGTAGCACTTGTTCGCATACTACTGAATAACATCACGCGTGTAGTCTTTTTTGTATAGTAAACATGATGGAACTTCAACATACAAGACTCAATACCCTGCAATATGAGCGTCTTGGCTGAGAACTACAATAACAAAACTTCAGGCTCCCTATCACCACGAAAACAAAACAAAACACAGCAAACTATTCCATTGCCTCGTCCAACATATCTTCTCTCCAGTCAGCCGTCTGACACAATCGACTCACCCCAAACCCCCTCACTCCGTGGGATCCCGCCCGCCCTGCGCCGCCATGTTCCTCTCATACTCCTCATCCGACTCAAAGTCAATCTCGGCAGGCAGCGTAATCGGCACAATCGGAATCCCATTCTCCTCCAGCTTCTTCAGCCTCGCCGCCGTCGCGGGTCTCGACTTGTTGATGCTATACACCTTGATGCGGTGCGCCGACGACGTGACGTGCAAGTCCCAGTTCCTGTGTAATCTCATCATCAGTCTCTAAATCATCGTCGTCCCTTCTGCCACAAAGTGGAAAGACATGAAAGTCGTATCCGAAGAAGTGTGAATACGAAGGAGAGAAAAAGGGGGGGAGTGAAAGACATACCAAGCAGACCTCACAAAAGTAGGCTGCGTATTACACGCGTTATCCCACGTCCTCACACAAAACTCCAGCCACCCCTCCGCGTCAACAGGCAACTCAATCTCCCACAACCGCCACGCATGGAAATACTTGCCGCTCATCTTCTCCCAAGGGACCTCATACCACACCCCGCCCCCATCGCCACTGACCTCGACCCTCACAGGCCAATGCCCGCCCCCAGAGTACGCCCACCCCCTCAACCTCACCTTCCCTTCGTGAACGACCTGCTCCATATCCCTCGGCGTCATAATAGCAGAGCTCACAGGCATCTCCTGGATCGAGAACCCGTTGCTGTACTTAACATTCTGCTTCCCCACCTGCGGCGTGTAGTAGATATACTCCCGCCTCTGCACCGGCGCACTGCTCTCGCTCGCGATGGCCCGGATCCGCGTCAACCACTTTGTGCTCCGCGCCCCGATATACCCAAACACCACCGTCCGCAACGGAAACCCGTGGATCCTGGGCAGCGGCTGCCCGTTCATCTCCCACGCCAGCAGCACCTCGTTCGCCTTCACCTTGCGCCACGGCACGCTCACGACGTAGTTATACACCTTGCCCTTCTTAAAGTACGTATCCGCGCCGTAAAACTCCAAGTGCGCCGCGCCGTCTTTCAACCCGCCGCAGTACTTTATGACTTTCTTCAGGGACACGCCCGTCCATCGCGCGGTGCCGATGGCGCCCTCGCCCCAGGGGGCGTTGATGAGCTCGTCGCCGTCGCCTGGGTACTGCGCGATCTGCTCGATGCGCCGCGTGCCGGAGCACTGGATCGAGATGACGTTGGTTTGGTGTTTGAACTTGGTTTTTAGGTCGTGCAGGGTCAGTGTCTGCGGGTTGTTGACGAGGCCGGCGATGTCGAGGGTGTATTTGTCCTCGTCGATGTCCGGGATGCCGCCGTGGTTGCGAACAAAGTGGTCTTTGTTAGAGGTGATTTCTGTCTCTACCAGGCGTTTCTGCGGTTTTTTTCTGTATGTCAGTCCGTGGGGAGGGAATCTTGGCGCGAAGATTCGATAAGACTAACACGAGGGGGCTCGCCGTTGTAAGGAAACTGAAGAACGTGAATCATATCCTGCGCCTTTTCCTTCTTGACGATATCCCAGCTGACTTCGGGGATATGACCCAGCCCGCACGCGTAGTGATACTGCTTCCATCGCTCCCCCGTCAGGATCGGATTCGTATCGGGGAGCGGTCCCAGTTGATACTGAGGCGGCTATTACAAGCAGTAGGAAAATTCAGTCAGCAGATGCTCCCAACACATGAACCCTCGGGGCATCGACATGTTGGCTTACCTCCGGAAAGTCATAATGCCTCATGAGCTCTTCAACTTGCTTCTTCTTCTCCGGATACTTCTCCCACTCAATGTACCCTTTCCAGCCATCCCTCTCCTCCTTGAAGTGAGGTGTCTTACCCTTCGCCTTGAAGGGGATCGCGTGAGGTTCAGCAGGAGCCATGGTGAGTACGACAAATAAAAGAGGAAGTCAGAAAGCCGATTTTCACCGAAAATATCTCTGAATAAAGACCACAAAAGACGGGAAGACGTCGTTAATAAGATGCAAAGCCACTCATCGACCGGCATCCAATAATACGCCAGAAGTCAATCTCCTACACTGGCAAAATCACACTTGGAAACCATGACACACATCTCTCAGCGAGTCCAATTTGTTATAAACACACCCCAGCCAATAAACAGCCTCTCATTTAGAATCTGATGCCGTCATGAAGACATCAAACAACCGTCTTCTCTCATGCGGAAGCTTTGCCGCGGCCCGACGCTAACAAACCCGCATTGCAGATATGTCAGCGTTGCAGGAGCCATGTTACCTGTGACCTGGCCCCTCCTCCCCCACGCGAGATAGCAATCAAACTCGCGTCTTCAGATCGGGAATCTCGGTTACAGTCGCTGGCAATGAGAGTCTAGCCAAAAAAGCCAAGATTCGTAACCGTCGCCGTCGGTTGTGCCCGTTGTGGTACTCCACTTAGTCATGACGTTGATCGTCCGGTCCCCCCTGTCGTATGTGAAAACAAGCATTTGCCGTTTGGAACGCTATCGTTAGACTCGGTCAAAAGTCGGCGACACTTGGCATTCGGCGGAACATGATGATCCAGGCATTGACGAGGTCTCACGGAAACCGAGAATCATGACTTTCGGGTGTGAACATTAGGGATGTATATTCCGAGCGATCCGCGATGAAACGATAGGGTAATCTAGGTAATGTGCTCCTCTCCTTAACGCCGTCAGCGTCCTATCATAGCCGCCTGCTAAAACCAAAATAATGCAATGTCCTGTAGGACGAAAAACTGACAGAAGCCCCAGGTTGAGACTGGGGCTTCATGAACCTCTGACCTTCTACCGCCCTTTAATGATGTTTCCCCCTCTTCAGGTACCGCCTCTCCTCTATACCCATCTTTTTTGTCAAAATCCCATCACTGCAGAACAGCGCCGCTCACTCTCCGGCCAACAGTCTTGATGGTCGAGTACTGTCCGTTGGCGCCCATGACATCAAATCGACTCACGCTCATGGCGTCTTCGGTGTACCCTGAAAAGTAGTAGCCCACAATGACTACAAGGTAGCTGAGCAGCAGAATGCTGCCCTTGAAGTAGTTACTCTTTCCTTCACCGTACATGTAGCTAAGCAAGAACACGCAAATGATGACAGTGACCATGTCCCACTGGGGGAACAGGAGCGAGAAGGTGTGCGCAGTGAGGTCTTCGAAACGATCCGAGGTGACGTAAATCGCAGAGAATAGGACGAGGGCCGGAACCTGAAGCAAACAGACTTGAAGCGCATAGGCAGAACCAATCTCCATAGAGAGCGCAATGTTGCCGTTCATAGCGAACGAAATGGCGTTCTGTAAATCGTTAGTCAAGACCATAGCGTAGGTGTGCAGACCAAACTTACCAAAAACTCGGTCGTGTTGGGGACCAGCGCGAAAAGAGTAATACCCAAGAACTTCTCATCAATGGCGAAGCCCTCAAGAACGACGTCTACAGTGTCTACTAGAATCTCGGCAATAATGGCATAAAGTACGGTAGCACCCATGAGGATGAAGGCACTCTTGCCTCGGCTCCAGTTGGGAGCGTCGTGTCCACCGTGGGGCACTTGGGCAGTGCTTGCTGCTGCGAGATCTTCATTGTCGGCAACGGTAGCGGTGCGGAGGGCCGGGGGACGCGAGGTGGCCGCAGTCGAACCCGGGGGAAGCGCCGAGGTCCTGCGAGGCATCCGCTCCCGTGCAGCAATCGTGGCCGCAGTGGCCGCCATTTCAGCCACCTCTCGGACCAATGCGTTGTTCTCCGCCTCTGAGAATCCAGGGATGTGAACAGTAGAGCGGACCGTATCGCTGCCGCTGGACTTCGGAGGCACGACGTGCGGGATACTGACGCTGCCATTGCCAGCACTCAAGCCCAACCCGGTGACGGACCCCTGGCGAGAGCTGTCGTCTTTCTTGTTTGCAAGGCCAACCTGCTTGAGCGACTGGCCGAGGATGCGTTTGTAGAGGTGAGAGTCACGGACGTCGACTGAGGTACCGGTGGTTTCAGCAAATGAGTGAGGACCCGACTGTCTAGCGTGGGCATGAGCGTGAGCGTGGGCGTGTGCCTCTTCGTGCTTCTTCTCGTCAATCTCGGAGTTCCAAATGACTGCAGCATGGGTTCGCAGTGTGAACCACAGTCCCACAATGTAGGAGAGGAACAATAACGTGGCGCAAAAGTAACAGAACGGACGGACAGCCTCGATATAAAAGCGATCATTGAGCGCCGGAGTCTGAGAGAAGAAGCATCGCTTGCAGTCGCGTCCGTCACCGACAGGAGACAGACCTCCCCCAATGCCACCGTGGTTCACACAGTCCAAACAGTTGAGCTCGTGTGTGCCGTAGATTTGGTAGAAGAGCGTGGGTCCAAAGGCGCCGAGGACGGCGAAAAGCAACATTGTCGAAGTGACACCGGCGGACCTGGCATTGAAACGCTGCGTCTTGCGCTTGATGGCACCAAAACACATGGAAAGACCCGGTAGGAAAAGAATACCCGCAAAGATACTTCCCACGATACTGCCTTCCACGAGCTGGCCTTTGCCTTGGCTCAGGGCAACGCAGTAGAGGAACACCTCGACAATCGTGGAGAAGAAAGCGTTGATGGCAGCACCAACACCCATCGAAGACTGTGCCGAGATGGAGGCGACAGCCTGGCCGATGAAGTAGGCGAGCGGCACGATGGAGAATAAGCCGGCAATGAACAGGAAGGCGGGTGACGTGATGAAGAGCTTCAGATCGAGGACTTGGTCGAGAACGAGATAGTCAAAGATGACGAAGAAGACAACACCCATGAGGTTGATCAAGAATACGTTTGTGCCGTCGATGGTGTATTTCCAGTACTTGATACCGACAGCGCGATACGTGCACAGCAAGATTGACGAGTGCGGCGTATCAGCTGTCCGGGCGAGAACGATGTCGGACTCGAACGAGAGTGCCAAGGGGTGGCGGCGCAGTTGGTCAAAGAGCAGCATAGTGACTTTGCCCATGGGAATCGAGAAGACGAGGAACCAGCAGATCAAGGATACTAGGATCAGCGAGGGTGAGAGCAAGAGGTAGAAGAACAAGAAGAAGACCACGCGGCCAATGTTCCACTGGCCTCTTCCGAACAAACGGCGCTTGGTCTGGGGTGGTGTCTGGCTTCGCTCTCCGCGTCGAGAACGGCCCAGGAGGCTGTCGGTCTCGCTAGGCTCAGAGTCGATGCTCCTGCGCGAGCGTCCAACAATAGATCGGCTGCGTTCAGATCCCTCGGGACCAAAGAAGAGGCGGCCATATTCCAGGTCACCACTCTGCCACTGCTCATACTCGGAAATGCTTCGTCCTTCGCCTTGGTCCTCATCCAGGTAGGCGTCATCCTGCTCCAGGCGCACATATTTGCCGAATGGGTAGAAGAGGTAGCCAGCCAAGCCCCAAAGAACTCTGCCGTATTCCCTGCCGCTAGGGGTTGCGGCGAACAAGAAACAGACCAAAGCGCCGAGAGCTGAGAAAGCTGCCATCCACCAGCCGAATAACAAAGTCCAGAGAAGGTTGAAGAAGACAAGCCAAGTGTGAACTCTTCCGCCAGGTGATGAATGAATATCACCCTCGGCATTCTTCTGCACCGAACGATCTTTCTTGTACAACGCAGGCTTCCACAACCTGATACCGAACGGATGGGTCTGGTTGATGGCCTGCTGACGATCCTTGAGCGTAAAGCTCTCGGCGTCGCTCACGTCGCCATCTGACTCTGCATCAATGTCATCTTGGTCGGGGTGTATCGAGGGAACGCGCTCGGTTTCCTCGGGAGCATCCTCGTCAGCTCTGGGTGTCCGCGGACCATCCTCGACTTCATCGTTATCGTCATCGTCCTCGATTCCAGTATCACTGCGTGAAGATTGGACGCGCGACAGCGTGGTTGCCAGTTGAGGCCGGCGGCGGGTGCCAAAAGCGGTGCTGCCCTGACGGCTTTGATGACGGCCAGCGGCATCTGCCTCGACCTCATCGATGTCGTCGTCGACAGAAAAGACTTCGCCGCGGTGTGGTGCTGATGGGTTGGTTGACAGGCGACGGGGCATGGGAGGCTTTCGCGGCTTCGCAGCTTTGGGGCGTTCGGGACCCATCATGGGCGATCTAGCACTAGCAGTTGTTGTCGAGCGTGAATGCGATCGATCGTGGGCGGACGGGTCGGCCAGGTATTGAGAGCCGGAACCTTGGGTATGTATAGAACCTGCAAGCGCACGGGGGTATGATATCAGCCAGGGGGTTTTCACGTTGGGCAACTGGGTAACTCGGACGATCAAGACTCGTTTGGTTTCTGGGCATGCAACAACACAGCAGCGGGTCGTACGTACCGTAGCCACCACCTTCTGGGCGCCTCCGCACCGTGTCGGTGGACTGGAAGGACTGGAAACTTTCGGAGAGACCTTCGTCGCGGGAGGCGACATAAGAGTCGAACCTTGAGGGCTGATGACGAGTATCAGTGGGCGATGCGGTGGTCGAGCTATCGTGGGACTGATGAGATGGATGGGACGGTGTGCCCGGCCCTGTTGAGGGATCCATGGTGGGCGACAACGAATAGGGCGACGAAAGAGCGCGCAGCTGTTTGGGGACGATGGAGCAAGATGGGTGGAGGAGATTGGCAAGGTGCCGGAGATGTGGGTTATCAGTGCAGGCGTAGGCGCAGGCGCGGGACGAGACGGCAACCCGGGGGTGGGAGAAGAGAGCGTCGGGTGGGTTGCTTTGGTTGGAGCTTGGAATTCTCTCGATATTTTGCTGCTGTCTTGGAACGGCGAGTTGTTGATTAAGCGATATGAGGAGAGGAAACTGGGAAGGGGAAGAAAAAAGTTGTATTGTTGTGAGTGTCTGTGCCAGGCAAGGTGCGGTTGGGTTTAGGTAGGTCCAGGTTCAGGTCCAGGTTCAGGTTCGGGCTCAGTGAGAGAAATGTGAGGATTACTCGGAGAGCCCGACTATGGGTCGAGGAGTCGGTGACGGTGTCGGTGTCGAGGCCCGCCTTCCAGGCTGGATATCTGACGGGTCTCAGTCTGGTAGCCGAAGGTTTATTGCTTATAAACAATGGAGAGGAAGGAAATCGGAGAAAAGGTCGAACAAGCGAACCAGGGAAATGTGGTGAGGTAGACCGCAGCCCGTAGGTAGGTGAGGTAGGTGACCGTGGTGGTGTGGTGTAAACAAGCTAAAGTATCCCGTAGACGGTGACCAAAACACACAAACACACGATGGAAAGGAAAGGACGACCGGGGGGAACAGGAATGAGAATGATGATGGGATGATTAGGCTATATTGGGTTCGAGAAGAAAAGCGCAGTCTTGTTCCATTCCCGTGCGGCGGAAAATGTCTACTGGGCAAAAGGTACGGACGGACACACAGACAACGGGAGCCTGCTATCTGTCGAGCGTACGGAGTAGAGGTTATTAGGTAGGTAGAAGGATGTCGAGTAAGAAGTACGAAGCACAAAGTATCGATGGATGGCCCGAATCAGTAGTCGTTGGTGGTGGAGGTGGTGGAGGAGCAGTTCGTACCATGGAAGCTACTTGCCGGCTAACGGTGGGTGCTAGGTAAGCTAAGGTACCTAATTGTGTTCCACCATGATCTACCTAAGTACCTACCTTACTTACTCTCTGTTACCTTAGTCTCTACTCCGTCCACAACAGTGTGTGTAGAGGAGAGCAGCGGAATGCTTGGGTCTCTCCTCCCCCAGATTCACACATATTTTACGGAGCAACACACCTCAATAAGGTGAGGAACTTGCTGCTGCCGCTGCTCAGAGGCACGAGACACTGGGCAGTGGGCAGTGGAGGTGGGATGGAATGTCTGAGTCAGGCGCTGCCCACTGTTGATCAAGCCGCAACCCCAAGTCTCCAACTAGCGGTCATGTGTACGATCTGGATGGCCTCAGATGGCGACTCTCTTTGCAGAAGAGCATGGAAGAAAAGCATGGAAGATGCTCTTATTGGCCCCGCGAGAGGAGCGAGGACCACTGCGAGGCTGCTTCTCCTCCGCAATGTGCTTGTCATCAGGTTCGAGAAGACTGGGGAAGATGGACAGGAGATCCCTCTTTTGTCAGTCTTGTCAACAGGCATGGCTGGTTTTGTAGTAGGTAGCCTTTGGTTGGTGTTTACATTTGCGGCTTGCACACGCACGCACATGCACACGCAACACTTGGCCTGCTTTTTCTTACTTTTGGCGGACGGTTGATAGGTAGGGCCAAGGCAAAAAGTACATGCACATCGTGCAGCGGCACGCAATTTGGGGAAGGATTACCTTAGGTTTCCGAGTGGAGATCATTGGTACTTTGCAAACTGGGCACTTGGGGTTCCGAAGGGGGGTTACTGCACAGTAAACACTTGAATTCAGCGTCGACTTTGAAGCCGGCGAAGAAGCGGACGGTGGAACGGGAGCATGGATCATGGACCTGTCCCGAATCAGACTAGCGCCCGCGTGCTTCAGAATCGCCGCTGGCACAGGGTGCAACCTCCCATCAGCCGCGACTGGCGAACCTCGAATCCTCGAGTCCCAGTTGCCTCCCCGTTCCCATGCCATGCCCCTCGAAGGCTTCCATCGGGGTCCGTCGTTTCCCATCTTATCCTCGCCGCCGACTCAACCTCACCTCAGCCTTCCCATAGGTTCCGCTTCCACGGTTATCACCGCCTCTTGGACTCTCGCAATATGCATCCCACGCCCTGTGCTATCAATCCTCTCATGATGATTCGACATCTTCCATCAGTTGCTCGACATGTGCTCTGATCTCGTGCTGTGCTCCACTTGCCCATCTGGGAGAGAAAACGTCACCGTACTCCGTATGTACTTGCAGGCGCATTTAGCGTTCCATTGCACCTTCTCTTCCAGCAACAACCTTGGGAACAATCGCACACGGACCATGACTCTCCATCTATGAGATCCATAATTACCTAAGATTCGGGAAACGGCAAATCTACACTTCCGGAAGAAGGCTTACCTAAGGTTTAGCTGCACTCAGATTCCGTCCGAGCTCAAGCTTGGAATGGGAAAAGTGGATCGTAGCTTTTCCGGAAAGATGCCCATCACGTGATTTCTGGCACTGTCGAACGCGTCGACAGTCGTTTGCCTGCTGCGGCTTGCGGCTGACTGACTGACCGACCGACGGAGCCAGCCAGCCCAGCCAGACGTCCAGCCCTGTCACTCCCAATCCATCTGTGAGCTTCCACATCGACAAGCTTCCATCATCACGACACAACCCACCACCACCACCAACGACCCCGGCAACCTCAATCATTCAACCCGTCACGACCCCGCTCCCGACGACCGATTGGCTTCCCCCTCACTGGTCCACGATAAATCCACATCAACGATAGCTACACCAAAGCAACATCACCACCACTACTCGTCTTCTTCCTTAACCCTCGGGGCATCCATCACGATGGCGCTCGACAGCTACTATCAAAACAAGATCGAGGCCATGAAGCTCGAGATCCTCAAGGGTCAAGCAGTTCTCCGCCGTCTCGAAGCCCAAAGAAACGACTACAACTCCCGCGTGAGGCTACTGAGGGAAGAGCTGGGTCTGTTGCAGCAGCCTGGTTCCTACGTTGGTGAGGTCGTCAAGGTCATGAGCACGAAGAAGGTCCTGGTCAAGGTGCATCCCGAAGGCAAATACGGTATGTCACAATCCTACCAGCTCTACATTCCATGCAGCTCGTTGCTTGCGTCCCTGCCACCTCAACCTCTTCGGGCCCAATCATGTCAATAGCATCAGATCAAACTAACCCCTCGCAGTCGTCGACATCTCCGACAATGTCGACATCACAAAGCTCACCGTCGGCAAGCGGGTAACCCTGCTTTCCGACAGCTACAAGCTCGAGAAGATGCTCCCCTCATCCGTCGACCCCCTCGTCTCCCTCATGATGGTCGAGAAGGTTCCCGACAGCACGTACGATATGATTGGTGGTCTGGATCAGCAGATCAAGGAAATCAAGGAGGTCATCGAGCTCGGCCTCAAGCACCCCGAGCTGTTCGAGTCGCTCGGTATCGCACAACCAAAGGGTGTCCTTCTCTACGGCCCCCCCGGTACGGGAAAGACGCTGCTCGCCCGTGCCGTCGCACATCACACCGACTGCAAGTTCATCAGGGTGTCCGGATCCGAATTGGTGCAAAAGTACATTGGTGAGGGTAGTCGCATGGTTCGCGAGCTCTTCGTCATGGCCCGCGAGCACGCCCCCTCCATCATCTTCATGGACGAGATCGACTCCATCGGTTCCTCCCGTGTCGAGGGCTCATCCGGCGGCGACTCCGAAGTCCAGCGCACCATGTTGGAGCTACTCAACCAGCTGGACGGTTTCGAGCCCACCAAGAACATCAAGGTCATCATGGCCACCAACCGTCTCGATATCCTCGACCCCGCCCTGCTGCGTCCCGGACGTATCGACCGAAAGATTGAGTTCCCTCCGCCAAGCGTCGAGGCCCGTGCCGACATTCTCCGCATCCACAGCCGCAAGATGAACCTGACAAGAGGCATCAATCTCACAAAGATTGCCGAGAAGATGAACGGCTGCTCCGGAGCCGAGCTCAAGGGTGTCTGCACAGAAGCCGGCATGTACGCCCTGCGTGAGCGCAGAGTTCACGTCACCCAAGAGGACTTTGAGCTCGCCACTGCCAAGATCCTCAACAAGCACGACGACAAGGAGGTGTCACTCGGCAAGCTCTGGAAGTAAGTGCATACCCGCAATTGGGGGTGTATGCAACGAGAGGGAGAGAGAGAGAGAGAGAGAGAGAGAGAGAGAGAGAGAAAGAGCAGCAAACGATCGACGAAGACATGTTTACTCGGCTGGCGGGAGTCGGCAGGCAGGCAGGCAGGGCGGAAGACTCAGGAGAGGCGGCGGTGGAAACAGCGTCTGCGCCCATTTGCGCGCGCATGTGGCGCTTGTACGGCTAATTATGTACGACTACATAGAATCATGGAATCAGCCACCATGACATTACACCGTTCATCACATTTTCTGTCTGTCGTCTCCCTTTTTTTGGGGAGGTACTGGTAGGCGTTTGATGCCACGTTCTCCGACAAAGTGACCTCACCTTGCCTTGACCAACGCACGCCTGCATACTCACAACTCGCAAATCCGAGAAGAGGAAGGGAAGGGGGGCGCTTGGTGTATGTACCCCACCGAAATGCCGTACATCATGGCCGTTTTTTTTTCCCCCATCGATTCACCCCTCGTCTTGACCGCCTGCTTCGGGTGGTCCATCGTCCTCGAGGGAAGGGTATAGACCAGTGTGACCACATGGATGGCAGATGGTGAGGAAGTGGAGTATCGTCATCCTGAGACAGATCACTTGTGAGAGATACTCGGTAAACTCGGTGGTGTTGGAATTTAACGGATGGATGACCAGTCAATTCGGTGGTGTTTCCTCATGGCATTGGTTCACTCGTAAACTACATCCACTTCGCTTCACGGAAAATCAAAATTCTAGGTTGTGAGGTCAAAGGAGGAGAGAGCATGCCAGACGGCATCTCCTCTGCTCTCTCTCTCTTTCTCTCATTCATTCAAGCGCCTCTCTAATGTACAATTCCAAGGGACCGACCGCAGTCGAGATCCCCAACATGCTGGCGTCGTCAGACACAAAAGTCGAGTACCAAACGCCATGCATCGTAATATATATGCTCTGAAATGCCCAAACGCCTTTAGCCTCATGCCTGACCTGGCACGGTGTGTGCGTCTCTCTTTCCGTAGTGCCTTATTTGCCGTAAAAGAAAAATGCACAATGCCATCTTTCTCATCACTCGCCGATATTGGCGTATTCCGCCGTCCAACAGGGGTATCGAATTACGATTCTCCACGAGTTCCATTTCCGATTTTCCATCCGTCTCCCTATGCAAGCCATGCCACGTGATTAGTTGTCCCCTCTAAGCTGCAAGCTTCCACTTCGTGCTCTCCCTCCTTTGGGAGAACCTGAGCTCTTCTCGTGCCATCGCCATACGTATTCAACAATCGTCTCGTAGCACAAGACGTATTGACGCAGGCTTTGCACCATGCTGAGTCGTTGGTTGCGGAAATCCTCAACCGTCTTCTGGATGAGATCCATAGTGTCGCTGTCGTCCGCCAACCACGCTGTGTCTAACGGGGTTCTGTCTGGAGAGCCCCGTCGCACGTCGGCGCTAGTGCGACGGCTGCTTGGAGTGAAATCAAAGGTCTTCTCCCGAGGCGAAGACTCCTCAGATCCGCTCATCTTTATATCACCGTCCGAATCCCGCTTTCTCACGGGCTTCGTGGTCGTCTTATTTAGTCGTTGCCGCTTCAGCATATCGATAACGCTGTCTACAGTGCAGAAGGTACCGGTTCGACCACATCCCGCAGAACAATGCACCAACATTGGCCTGGCCCTCTGATCCGTCTCCGGCTCGTCATACCAAGCAATAGGGCCTGATTCCGGGGACACACGGGCACTGCTCACGGAGGACGTATCGACCGGCAAAGCTGAACGTTGCATCACGTTGGCTAGGTCCACGAGGGCCAGCAGATGTGACGGCTGCGCAGGCGCTCCAAAGTCGGGCCAGGAAGGATAGTGCAAGTGAGTGATCTCACGAATGGGCGCAAAGGGGTGTGAGCCGTGAGACAATGCAAACTTCCGAATGATGACATGCGGCGTCTCGCCTTGTGGAGGGGATGGCGAGGCAGTTGCGTTTGATGCCTCCAGGGTAGTCGTCGTCTGCGCGCGCCGGCGTCCGGCTTCCGCTGCAGCTGCAGCAGAAGGAGCACTTGACCCCTGGTTGGTGCGGTGCTTGTCAATGTCCAAGGACACTTTCTTCTCCGATAGCGGCTTGAGCTTGATCGAGCCAAAATCCCTGCCTTGCCAGTACGGGTGGCATTTAAGCTGGCCTCCTTCCGACTCCGCGGTCAACATGACGACGACACGGATATCTTGTTCCCAAACAACAGACCAGAAATCCTTCCTTGTATTAGTGTCCAATATACATATCGCGGAGATCTTGCCGATAGCTTACCTCAAATGTGGCGGGGAGCGGACCCTGGGTAGCGATGTACCTCTTATTGCTCCGAGATGCCTTGACGTGACTGGCATTGACGTAGTCGCAAGCCCCCTCGGAACGGCCTTGCAATTTGACCCGAGCGTGCTCGAACGGCAAAATGTCCTTGTAGCGATTTTTGCCGCCCTTCTCAATACCACAAAGCTGCGGAACAGTCTTGTCCTTTTCACTGCCACTGAACATGGAGTAGGCCGCCTTCATCCGCGACTGCTCAGCCTTTTCAATGTTGAGGAACTTGTCTGATACTTGCTTGCCATGATCGCTAGGCTTAGAGGCATCACGGAGCCATCTAGGTAGCGTAGGTGACTCCAGCCCCGACGGTCGAGCAATGTCCAGCTGACCAACTCCATCGGCGAGATCCATGTTCTGACGAATATTTGAGAAGAACGGATTGGCGTTGTTCTGTGTCATTGGTAGCATGACACCTCCAATGACAGGGGCGATGCCGGGCAAGTTACCGTCACCCGATGCTGCTGGACCGGAGCCGCTCGCTGGAGGACCGAATCCCTCATCCACAAGGTCGGGATAGGCGTCAGCGAAAGCATTGAAGCCACCCCGCAGGATGTACATGTTGCCGGAGTACCCCTCATTCGTGAATTTCTTCACCATATTCATACACGTAACGGCGTCACGTTTCTCTGCAGAGTAAGCATCATAGACAACAAGGTGCTTCGTCGACTTCCACTGTGAAAAGCGCCCCTGCATATCCGGGCTTTGAAAGGTCTGCTGGAGTTTCGTCAGGTTGAAGGTAGCTCGCTTTAACAACGTTGTCGGAATGCAGAGATTGAGCGCGCCTTCGATCCGAGCTTGGGCATATTGCTGTGACACTCTCAAGTCCAGGAGCAACAGATCACTTTCTGAACCATCAGCCTCGATCAGGTCCTTCAATTGCGACGGCGCTATCAACGAGGGGCCGCTCTCCATAGTCGGCGGCACGGTCTCGGCGCGTGGCTGGTTTGCTCGAGCAGCACTCGGCGCTGGCGCATCGGGTTTGTTCTGTGAGATGGATAACCTGGGGTGACGGTCCTCTACTTTCGACAGTGTTGTTCTACGCTCAAAAGGCGACTCAGATTGCATCGGCGATTCGAATCTTGGCATGTTCAAATTGAACATCTGTGGTGGTTGTATCGACGCTTCGGAGTTTCGCTTGGAATCCAACGAGGCGTATGCTGAGTCGTTCAAGCTTTGCTGGTCAACTTCCTTGCTCTGCTTTCGCTCCGTGGGCATTCGAGGTATCGAAAAGTCCGAGGCGTGGTCGCTGGCATGCGTATTCCACCGTGGCGGTCGAGGACGAAGAGTGGTGGGGTTCGGGGGAGCTTGCGGAAAGTGCGAGGAGGAGAGGCTGAAGCTCACACCGCGATTGAGGTCGGCTTGCCGTTTGAAGGCCTCATAGTCGGGATTAGCATCGATGGGAACTTGCTTGGGCAGCGCGGCGCCGAATGAGCGGACGGACGAAGTCGGGGAGCTCCAGTTGTCTCGTGGCATGGAGGCAGATTCTCTTGGATCGACGGACTGCTCGACAACAAGTCCAAAGTAGTTTGGACTCGCGGCCCTGGCCTCTGCCTGTCTTGCCGGAGTAAGGTTCCCGTTCCCGGGAGGCATTGACTGGCCCACGGAGTAGGGCATTCTTGGAGATGCCACAGGAGTAGAAGGGTTTGGAGTCTTTGCGGGCGGAACGGCGAGTTTGGACTGTGAGTGGGAGTGGCTATGAGAAGATCGCGGCGCAGGCGAAGGCCTGGGAGCTGAATGATGAGTCTTCATGGTGTAGTGGACGGATGTTGCTCCGTCGTTGCTCCTCTTGTCGAGCATGGTTAGTGTGTGTGTAGGTGTAGGCGGTTGTAAAGAGGATGGGATGTGTGAGAGAGAGCCACGGATGTTTCTGGAGAATAGGTATTGTTCCGGACGCCTGGCCAAGTGTTGAAGGCCCTTGGTCAACAATCAAAGCGCCATTCCGGTATGGCGGCGTTTTTTTGGGCGGGACGGTTAAGGCAAGGTCGGATAGGGTTCAGGTAGATCGGAGGGAATGGGAAGGGAGGGAGGGTGTGCGGAAGAGGCTCTTTGAAAGGGAAAGGGACAGGCAGTGGGGGGTCTTTTAGAGAGAAAAGAAGGTTGCGGGGGGGTTCTGACGTGACGGCACAAGTGGCGATCTGAACCCGGTTTGGACCTGGGGGTGGTGGTTGCTTGGCCCTTTGCTTGGTTGAGTTGTGACTTTCTGAAGCGGTGATGGATGCCCTGGGCGAAGGATGAGGGAGAGCAGAGGCAGAGAAAGAGATAGAGAGAGAGGGGATACACCTGATGGTTATTACTCTGACTCTGGTTCTAACTGTCTCTGAAGCTACTCTCTCAACTGCGAAGAAGACAGGATGGTGTGGTCGAGAATGGGCTGGGCTGAGCTGACGGGGGCCGGACAAGGTGGTGGCGTTCGGCGTCCCGAGAACCAGTAGAGAGAGATTGAGAGAGCGAGGACAGTGACAGTGACAATGTGACTGTTATGTGTGCTCTGGCAAGGTGCCGTACAGACGGACTATGGATAATACTCTGAATCGGTATGGGTAGTATGGGAAGTAATAGAACGAAGACGCCTCGGGTTGAGCGCAGCGCAATGGAACTCTAGCAGCGGGACAACACGACACGACGGCGGAGGACGAAGTGGGCGACCAAGCAAGGTCCAAGGAAACAGGCACTGAGGCGAGCAACTGGGCAAATGGGCCAGCGGGGGGGAGATAGCTACATCAAAGGCGCACCGGACACGCAAAGGAAAAAGGGAGGACCTGACTTGCTAGGTCTGGGGGTGTGTGAAAGACAAGGCGAGCATTGGGAACAACAATTCCCAGGAGAAAAGGGCAGGGGGGAAAGACGGGAAAGAGAGAGAGGGAAAAAAAAAAAAAAAAAAAGGGTCCAGCCAGGTCTTGCTTGGGAGAGGAGTAGGAGTGAATGGAATGGGAACGCGCACGAGAAAGCAGCAGAGAAGAAGAAGGGGGGGGCACCCCTGGCTTGCGGGCAGGGAAGGGATACCTACCGACTTGGGTGTGGGAGCAAGAAACAGGTGTGGTGTGTACTAATGTGTGTGTGTGTGTGTGTCTCGCGGCAGCTAGGTATTCTCTTCTCTTTCTCTCTTTTCTAGTACCCTTTTTCTAGGTATACTTTTTTGGTTTTATTTCGGACTCTAAAGCTGGTTGGTTGAGCTTGATTTTGCTTGTGAGAGTTTGGACTTGGGTCAGGGGCGTACCGCATTCACATTGGATTCTTCTTCTTCATGAAAAGACGATGGGATGGTGGTCTGTCTGGGCAACGGCTTGCAAAAACCAATATGGCTAGAGCTGTGCAAGGCAAGGCAAAGCAAGCACGGCAAGGCAGTGTGTTCTCAGCCCTCTCTGCAATTTGATGAGTTGAAAGCACATGTGCGGAACCGCATTCTCTAGTGGCGGTACGGAGTGAGTAGGGAGTACGGGATACCTATGGCGTTGGCAGCAGGCACAATATCGACGGCTGTCCCCGGGCCAAAACGGTCCAACCTGGCAAGTTGACGGTGTAAGCAAGATACGGGGATCCGTAGAGGCGCGTCCGAGTTCCAACGACCAAACAATTCTAAAGACACGGGTGCTGGAAGCTGGACAGAGAGGCAGTGGGAAGGAAAGGGCAGCACGAGGGCATGGCGCGCAGTGGGGGAAGAGAAAGGACAGAAAAGAGGGTGTCATGTCTGATGAGGTCGTGTGTCGTCCAGAACGGGAGAGATCGGCGCGTTGAGGTTAGCTCGGCGGAGTCTCTGACATCAACCCTGTGTGAGACCCTAGTCATCACGTGAGGATCCCGATGCACATAATGCACATACTGCACATGCAGGCACTGTGTTAGTAAGCACAGCTGCCGGAAAGGACCATCGTAACAAAGGCACTCGCACGGTAGGAAGCTCACCACTTATTCCCACAGGGCTGGTGTCTCGTCCACCGCGTCATAGAATGGGGGCGCTCCTTTGACGGGGCTCTTCTATCGTCTCCCATTGGACAGACTCTCGGTTGTGCGTCCCTCCAGAGATGAGCTATGGCGCAAAAGCAGAGAGCGCAACCTTCCCACGGATGAGAATTCGTTCTTTCTTTCTACCGTAGGTAGGTCACCTAGGCAAAGTACCGAACACGTACTGCTTATTCCCTCCTGCCTTTGAACCACACCTCTGGATCCCCCAACCACAGAAGGAGACAAGGAAGCAGGGGCTTGAAGAGAAGGTTTGATGCTGCAAGATCGCAAGGCTTGAAAAAGCAACACAGAACAAGTCGACAACACCATGTTCCGAAACACAAGACCCAACAAGCGCAAGCGCAGGCTAACGAATCCAGCAGTCGGCTTGCAATAACCAGGCCCAGCTACCTATGCTCCTCTACCTTACCTTATTCTGCGAGCTGGCCAAAAGCCAGTGGAGGTGGTATTGACAGGGCAAGCCCCCATCACCTTAGCCGCGCAATAGGCAGCAGGGCAGAGACCGCGACGCCCACCTCGCGAACACGCACACACCGTTCAAGACACAACGGTATACATTTGCATATACCACAGGCCATGCTCGCCCCTGTTCGACCTAGGATGCAAGCAGGCGCTCTACTGTGTACAATAGCGCTGTTGCGGCCATCGCAAGGCCATCACAATAGAGCGTCGCAGTTGAATTCAACACCAGCCAATTGCCATGGAGAATCTGTTCTGAGGGATTCACAGGCCAAAGGTACCGATACCTTCCCTGTACCTTGCGCCCTCCAAAGTTGCCCAGACTCGAGATCTCACTCTTTATTTGGAGAGTGGGGTCCGCATGGTGCAGACGTCATAGGGCCCATGTAGATGAGCAAACTAGCATCATCATCCCAAGTCTCGAAGAGTCTGGACCCCTTTTCGACGCCGCCAGCCAGCCAATCGCACATCTGCGCTCAATTCGTGTGGGAGCATTGGGTACGTAGTATGTATCTGCTCCAACCACAACCACAGTACCTTCGAATACGGGCACTGGGGGAACCGTTTTTTTGCAGCCATGAGTGTTCCAGCCTCTACATACCTTGCTACGTAGTTCCTGCGTAAGATCATCTTGCGCGAATCACAAAGCTATCGAAATCCGCCTCGTTGCCTATTTTCAGCAAATGGTTTCTGGTCCAATCTGCTGAATAGTACCATCAGGCCATTTCGCCCAGGAGGCGAGAGTTTGGCATGATTCCTCGCCAAATTGGCTTTTCTGCAAACCGCCCCCCCTTGCTGACGGTCCTTCTTTGGGGAATGACGTAGGCAAGCATTACGAACGGTCAGGTACCCGTGCTCCATTTCAGCTGACATTTCGGCGTGGGGCCCCTCTCTTTCCATTCGGCGAACATTCGTACGTACATAGTAGTAGTACCACCATGAAGCCTTGAGCCTTGAGGTTCAGGTAGCCATGTACAGCCTACCGGCAGCTGCGTGACACAGCAAAGTTTATCAGCTTTGCAACTTTGTCTGCCCAATTCGCTCAAACTCTGTTCATCGTCCCAAGGGCCTAGAACTATTCCATCAACTCTGTTCGACTCGTGTACCTGATGCAGTGGTGATGATGCGCCGACTACTAGGTGTCCAACGGTTAGTCCCCAAACCTGCCGATTCCCAGTCATTGTCGTCTGCGATGCCGTCAACAATTGTTTATGGGTTTCTACGAGAATTGTGAAATGGAAGCATGGCAGGGCATCATGCCGGAAAGTCGCCGAAGACAACAGCGCAAGCTTTTGCATGTTGACATGGTTCATAGAGCAACGCCCCGTTGTCTGTATTCGTACCTACCTGATATTTTGAAGATCCTCAGGCTTCAACGGTCAACAACAAGAGTGACATTCAATTCGAGTACACACAATCAGGCACACTTGAAACGGGGACGCGGCCATTTGCACCGGTAACGCTGAGATATCGATAAACATCTCCCTTCAGGTGAAGCGCCAATCCCATTCCAACTTTCCAAGTTTGGCAGGCCGTCGGATGACACGCTGCATGGTATACGTATACGACATAAGGTACCTTACGGTAGCTAAGGTGGTTTACTAAGACACTTGGTGGTTTACTAAGACACTTTGGTTACTTTTGAGAGGAATCTGGCAGGTGCTACGAGTACCTTCTCTTGCCCAAGGTCATAGGTACGCATACACGCGCGGAAGGTATGGATGTGTTAGTACCTTCCACGTTGACAACAAATGCGGTCCCAGGGAAAGAATAAGTTCGGGTCGGAGATATTCATGGCCGCTGCCATGGCAGATTGCCTCAGCACGTGAGGTCTCGTGGGGGTACGTCTGTTCCGTACCTACACAGGTAATCGCAAAGTTCCCAAACGTCGCCAAATCAAAAGTTGGAGAAGGCACACAGCTGGAACGGAAAACCTCCACCGTGGTACCGTTTTCCCATCTTGTGCTTCAGCTCCGACTCAGCCCTCACTTGTGTTGGTGAGGGTTTTCCCATTTTCTTTTCCATTTCCAAGTTTATGGCAAATTGCCTCCACTCCCACGAGTCCCACACACCCCCCGTGGCCACCTACCTTGACCTAGGTACTCAGACGACGTACTGCGTAGCGCTGTCTCGCCCGATATCCCATATTCCCTTCCCGAATCCCGTGCCCGTCTTTTCTCCAAGTTTTCCATTCTTGGCCCTCCCCTTTCTTGCCCTCACGTCTCTTGCTTTACTGTTTTCGTCTAGATGCCTGAGACTTGAGCATCTTCCTACCTACCTTCCTAGCCTAGGGCCACAATGCAGAAAGCGAGGGGGCCCGATGCCAATGGAATTGCTCATGGGAAATTGCCCACCAATTCCATACGGGCATTCCT